GATACATAGAATAGAATAGAATAGAATAGAATAGAATAGAATAGAATAGAATAGAATAGAATAGAATAGAGAAAGAACGAATGAGAATGGAATGGAATGGAATGGAATGGAATGGAATGGAATGGAATGGAATGGAATAGAATAGAATTAAGAATAGGAATAGGAATAGGATAATAGGAATAGGATAATAGAATAGAAAGGGAATGGAATGGAATGGAATAGAATAGAATAGAATTAAGAATAGGAATAGGAATAGGATAATAGGAATAGGATAATAGAATGGAATGGAATGGAATGGAATGGAATGGAATAGAGACTAGAGAAGAGAAGAGAAGAGAAGAGAAGAGAAGAGAAGAGAAGAGAAGAGAAAGAAGGAAGAAGAATAGAGTAGAATAGAATAGAAATTAGAATAGAAAATAAAATAAAATGAAATTCTTTATTGGCCAAGTGTGATTGGACACACAAGGAATTTTTGTCTTTGGTGCAAATGCTCTCATTGGTGCTCTCAGTGTACATAAAAAAATAGAATAGAATAGAAATTAGAAAAAAAAAATCTTTATTAGCCAAGGGTGATTGGACACACAAGGAATTTTTGCCTTGATGCAAATTTGGTGGAGAGGTAGACCTTCTCCCCCACCTGGAATGAGTTGACAGATGGTTCTTCCTGGACGATGCCTTTTACACCAAGGTGTGACTTGCCCCACTTAAATTGGGGGGGGGGGGGGGTGTTGCGCAGGACCTGGGAAAGGGGTTCGAATCTTCTTGGCCCCCCAACACTGAGCAAGGAGGACACGCTGGGTCTTTCCAGACCGGCTGATGTCTCTAGCCGGCCCCCGGCGGTCAGCTCCCCACCGGCTGACCAGTCATTGTTCAGCTGCCACAGTGGCTCCTTTGTGCGTCGTCCTTGAGGGGCGATGTGGGCTGAACCCCGCCTTCCCTGAGCAGGGCGAGGGGTGCCAGGCCGCAAGACAATGCCTCCCCTTTGTCCAGCACTAAATTTAGCCGGCCGAGGAGGTCAGGCGGCGGCCACCACTTGGGATTGCTCGCTGGGGTGATGGCCGGGACACGATGGGACGCTCCCTTCTCCTCCTAGA